ATCGCCATGTTGCCTGAAACCCCAAACAGGAGCATGCGGCTTTGGCTATGGCCTCACCCGACCCATCTCCCAATAGTTTTGACCATTTTCCTTGTCGTTCTCTAACTGGTTTCCCAACCGTTTCTAGAAACTTACGGGTGTCGCATACATTTGGTCTAGAAAGGATTGCAATGGAGCGTAGGCCATAAACCTTTGTGATATGTAGGACTTCAAATTCAGTTGCGTTCACAAAAATGGTGATGTAGTAATCACTTGGGAAGTTAAAAATAATGCAAACCTAAAAATAAGGAATAGATGGGACAAAAATGAGGTTGACCAAAGATGACTCCGAAGAAAGCAAGTTGGTAAAAAGTGTCATAGCAATGTTCCTTAGACCTTATGTTGGATGCGAGATTGAAGTGCTTCTAGGTTAATCACAAGCCAAGTTTTTTAATGTTTAGTGGTAAGCCTAAAATGTAATGTGCATTCATGTTGCTCAAAGCAAAGTTATCAACTTTCCACAGTAAACTGGGCTTCATCGTATTTTCAAAGTAAAACATATCTATATTGTTTATAAGTTTAGAATATGATTTGTAGATACAATGTGCTTATAAGTTTATAAAGTATATAATGTTTAAAGGATGCCCTATCATGTATATATAAAAAGTGTTATACGTAGCATATCTTATGGATATGTGAGTGGTGTCACGTATTGAGACACCACGAGTTACACAGAGATGTGAATGGCCTAGCATAAGTCATAAAGATACATTACTAGAATCAAAATCTTTAGTTGGATCGCTACCACGTTAGGGGGGGGGGGTTCGATACATTACTGATGGGAATCCACAAAGACAGCATAGGAGATATCACTCATTATACTGGAATATGGTGAGTATAGCCATGTCTGATGAAAAAGCCACCTGTTGGGGCTCGATGAAAGAGAAAGTCTCGGCATTAAGAAAATAGGGACAAGGTTGACATAAAGAAATTACTTGTTTTAAGAATTACGCCATCACCGATCCCTTGGGGGCTAAGATTGAAAGAAAGAATCGGATCCTCTTTGAGATGAAATATTCTTTCAAATGACAACTGCCTCTTCCTGCTGCTAGGGCGGACTCGAAGCCCCGCTCAACAAGGGGGAATTACCGAGACGGAAGCTGCTCTCTCGTAAACAATCCTCAAAGGTGTCTACATCTAGAACAACTGCTAGACTCTGCTTTTACCCACTTTAGACCTGGTTGCAAGGCAGTTCTATCAAATAAAATGGGATTTTTCCAACAACCCAACCTATACAAAGGGCATCCAYCAAAGCCCCTTTACTAGATTGTGTCGGAGGACTTTTGAGCTTGAGCTACCACTCATACAGCGACAAGGACCTGCAACTCTCGAAGGGGCCACTAACCTCCCGAATCGTACCAAGCCAAAAAGTATAACCAATACATGCTTCCAGTTAGTGGAAAATGCCTTTGCTACAAAAATTGTCAACATTGACCCCTAATTTTTTTCGTGTATACATTTAGTCATCGACACTTGAATATCAATATGGTGAAATTTTTAACTTTCAACTGATGTTTCATTAAAATTAATTCCATATTACACAAATTGATTAATTGTAAGGTTTTATTTTTATTTATCATTATTTTACAAAGAAAAACAAAACCCCACGTAGGTCCTCTCTATTGCCCATTCAAGGGAGAAAACGACAAAGACCCCTATTGCTTGATCACATGCTTGTCACTACTATTTCTCAAAATGTGGATGAATAGAAGTTCAATTCGTGAAAAGGTTCCCCCCATGACCTCCATTCGATTGTTTTAGCGCTTCACTTTTCACATGCCAAATAGAGAGATTTTATATATAAAGAACAATAAAGAACTTGTCTTACTAACAATTAACAAAGTTTTAATAGTCATTAGAAAAAAGACAATAATAGATTACATAAGCTATCCGTATATTGTTTATTCCTATAAAACAACATACAGCATAGAAGGCTTAGGTGCTGTTTACCAAATTTCTATTAAGTCTTGTATGGATAAATTTGTCTGTCTACATAAATTTATGTTGTTTACTTTTCTATCTGAATCAACAGTCTAAATAACATAAATGACTGATTTACCCCCTGAGGATGAACTACACACTGTTTTATAAATTGTTGTTCATTTTTAAAGGCAAATGATATTTCTGAAAAACAAACAAGTAGATTAGCCATTAAAAAAAACACCAGCAATAGATACAAATAACAATAGACAAGTAGATTAACCATTAAAAAACACCAAAGAACAATACCATCCTTTAATGCAACTGTTTCCTTTGCCAGAAATCAAATTGAGATGAGGCAAATTAACACCCTTTAATCTCATCATTTGATCAAGAAATCCAAAAATCTTTCTGGAAAGAACAGAAGCAATGAAACAGACCTCAAGTAAACAGACTGCAATGAAACAGACCTCAAGTAAACGACAGCAATGGTACCCAACAGAATCAATGAAACAGCAACAATGGTCGATAGTCAGCAGCAATTGATTTGAAGTGGAGCAATGGTCGATACTCGACGCAAGCAGATGGTACCCAACAACAATCGATTTGAAGAGAAGTGGAGAAGTAGTTACTTTTGGAGAATAAAGCAATCGATCCATACTCAACAACAATCGATTTAAAGTGGAGCATTGGTCGATACTCAAAGCAAGCAGATGGTACCCAGCAACAATCGATTTGAAGAGAAGTGGAGAAGTAGTTAACTTTAGAGAATAGAGCAATCGGCCGAAGAAGAAGATACCTAAGGTTCACGATCGTCGAAAGGGAGGGAGTGTTTTGAGGAAGAAGATACGCTAAGGTTCATGGCCAGGGGTATGAGGGTCTTTTTTTGGGCTTAATGGGGACAAGTGTTGTTTTTTATCTGTGCAAATAAGCCCCTTTCTGTACGAATAATCCCAAAATAAACACACCATTTTGGCTGTGCGAATAAGCCCATTTACTAATTAAACTCATTAAGTCTCAAGTAAACACACCCTTAAACTTGTAAAGTATATAAATAACTCTTTTATCGGCTCTTTCCAAAAGAATCATCTACTAATTTTGAGTATCCAAGTCGGGCATCATCAACTCTTGTAACTGATTAAATTTTCAACAACATTAAAAATGCATTCACAATAAACAAATTAAAACATTCATAGAACTTGGTTGTAATTCCATCATATTTAAGAATTTAGTAATCTCTTCAAGACAAATACAGATAGAATTGTAAATTTTCTTTGTTGAAAAGTACTTAACAAGAGCTCGAAATGGAAATATGTGGGCTTAAAATGAAAATGCGCATCAGTGAACTGTTCAGGGGAAAGATCTGTGAAAAGGTGAAAGTAGAAAAGCGTAAAACCGATGTAAGAAAGAGTCCAAAACTACCAAAAACAATGACTGTATAACAGCTCACCACCCACACCCATCAGACAACTTCTATAGGGCCCACTTTTGGTCCAACCCCCATCTCTTTCTTCCATCATGTGGGCTGCTGTTAACAATACCCACTTTTGTTGTCCAACTCTAATCCACCACCTCTACAGTCTACTTGCCAAATTCAAAACATCCAAGTATCAAATCTCAATCCAAACCCCAAGATAAAAACATTTCAACTCTTCGGGATTGTTTGGCAATTGTTGAATGGTTTAGTGCATAATGATTAAATGATCGAAATAATTAAAAGACTATCATGATATAATGCAGAATGATATATAATTGTTTGATAATTGTGTAGAATGAAATTAGGGCTCTTAATGGTTAAGGAAGATCCAGGATACAAAATCATTCAAAGGGTTTTAAAACCATTAAGAGACATTTTTTTTTGTCAAACAAGATGAACCTCTTAACGATTCAGAGGTTACCTCTTAATAGAATTATTAAGGGGTAAACAAACAAGCCCTTACTTTTCCTCTTTTCATCTTTTCATTCTTAATTGAATGAGAGGAATTTTCCATTTTTCATTCCCTATCATTTTTACCTGCATTTCTATTCCTGAACTAAATAACCTCTTAATTATTTAATGATTTTTTTAATAATCATAGATATACAAACCAACTTACACCTCAATTATTTCTATAAGACGTTAAAATAAAGTCATAAAGAGACCGGAACCGAAATCTATGTATAGAGACACAAGGTCTTACCAATTGAGCACTCCTTAAGAGGTTATACCTACCCAATTTCACACTCTATTGCATAAGATCCCACTCAATTTTCTTTACTTTTATGCTATTGTTGTGTTTTATTTACTTCAAGTTAAAGATCTTAGACAAAATATCACACTTAAAGACCTAATGCACAGTAGGTTTACATTTATAAACATAAAAGTAGATGGTGATAAAGGAGAAAAGAGAAAGGAAATTCCATGTATGGAACCCACATATGCACCTTTCCCTTTCATAGGCTTATCCACACCTTCAAGTGGACAAACCCTTTCTTTTTTGGTCCTAAGAGAGTATCAAAAGATCCAAAATATGTAGGCAAGGAAAGAGAGTCCCAAACTTAACCCAAGTGGGATACCAATACAAATCCCGCGCCTGTGTCTTATCAACTCATCCCACGAGCTAAAAGATAACAAAGTGTTATCCTATCTGCAATCCTAACATGGGTTTTATGTTCAAACGCAATTCCCTTCTTGTTTTTAATAAAATAAGAACAAACCCAATGCAATTATCCATGATTTGATCTACAATTTGGTGATAAGATTAGGATAATGGTTGTTTAAGATATGATGTCAACATGAGACTAATGGGGGATTTGTTTATCTTATCTGTGGGCCATATCCCTACGTTGTAGATAAGAAATGATCTAATGGTCAAGGCATACTTGCTACTTTTTCTTCCTTAGCCGTTGAAAGATGAAGAGAGAGACAACCCTATCGGATTAATTGATGTCTGCCTTCTCAAATCATCTTACGGCTTCCAAATAAACTACTATATGACCTGAGGTTTTAGACTACTTGGTTCTTTTTAATACAACTTGTATGTTACTTTTTCTAAGACGTCTTAATCTAACCAATAACTTCATTAATACAACTTGATCATGATGTTTCTAATCGCAACATTTCATTATCTTGTACCATTACTTTTTTATTTTATAGTTATCGAATCTTCATAATCTTGTTCATCTAAAGTTCAGGTCTTTCCCTTTTTTTAAAATCGAAGGGTCCCAGCCAACAGCAGCTGATTAATTTTATAGCAAGATTCTTAGTTGTTTTACGATCTTCAATTTTCAGGAGTAGTATTGAACGAGTCCGATGGTCCATCAAATCCTCCACAAATGCATAGGCAAAAGATAGTCGATGGCGGTCACTTACAGTTGTAAATGAAACACATATTACGGTACGGCACGACTCTCCCAAGTTCTTTGACTAAAAGTCCAGATCCACAAACAAAACCACTTCTTTTGGGTAACTGTGCTCAACTTTCAACTGCTTAGGATTACTGCAAGTCCCACCATGACACCTGCATCAAAAACCAAGCAAAACTCCTCCTAAAGTTGCTAGTTACTGCTAAAGATGGATATTACCAATTAACCGAACATCCGGTGTGCCCGCCTCTTCCCCATCTCCACCTTCCCTTAAAGGTCAATGGACAATTCACCTGCACGTGGTTTGTGGACAATTAGCCTTATATAGATCTAATGATCCATAAGAAAACGAGCTTCAAGTCTCTAATGAGTGAACGTGACGATCCAAGTGATTGATAACCTGTGGAATAAGAGAACAACCAGAAATGAACAAGTAACAGCAGACAACGTTAAGAATATCACCAGAAATAAATATTTAACAAAAATAAAATAACGTTTACGTTAGGACGACGGTACAGATACGCTGAACACGAAGTAGAAATGAGGGAACTTGAGGATGGGAAACAAAAGGAGTCGACGGAAACTTCAAACCCCAACCCAGACGAGACGGAATGGAGGAGAATAATTGAATGAACCGAACTTCACGGAACGATGATGAATATGGATACGGAGATCAACAACACAGACGGAAGCTCACGACACGTGGATAGCAAATCTTTAGGTTGTTCAAACGATTAACTGAATTTTTCTAACGAATCGAGGGATTTAGTTGAGCTAGATTTCATTTCCAAATTTTTAAGTGATCAATTTTTGTTTAGAAACTTGAAGCTGCTTCATTAGCCATTAGATGGCAGCCACTGATGATTTTTTTATATATTCTCATCTATAACTATACATAGACACAGAGGAATCTACTATCCAGTTCAGGATTTCTTTCGGTAACCGGAATTTAAAAAACTGTCCGTCCCGACATCTTCAATCGCCGAATCGCCGGGATCTGATTCACCGCCACCGTGGTTGGCTCCGTAGAGCCCAAACATTTATGAAAGCCATCAACCATATAGAAAATTTAAAAATCACGGATCATCGGCTTTGGTCATGACAGATAGCCGACTAGGCGTAGGCTGAAACGAAGTTCTCCGTCTCTGCTGATGAGACGACGGTCGAATCAACGCCGCAAGAGCTCTCCTCACCAAATCACCGCCTTCTACCGTACCTATACGGACTAGCGAGTTTGTCATCGCCGATCTCCGCGCGTTAAGTCTGTTCGAAGGATACGACGCAGTAGCGCTGTGACTGTTGTTAGAGTTCTTATGCAAGCTGCACCTAAACGAACCTGGATGCGAAGTAGGTGAACACATACACATCCTCCTGGGAGCCTGCAACTGCTTCTTCGCCGCTTGATTATTCCCTCTAGGAATCACAGAGATGGAACGGCTAGGAGAAATAGAACGGTTGTCGAGAGAAAACCGTACAGACGACAACGAGGGAGACGGCGAGGATCCATACAGATTAACTCGCGTAGGAGACGCAGATCGGTTTTGAAAAAACGAAGATGATCTGGACGAGAAGGCAGAGGTGGAGGAAGCAAAGGAATTTGACGATGGAGAACTGTAGAACCTTCCAGACGGAGAGTTTGAGCGTAGCACTGGGCCACTAGCCCTTCTGGTTGGATTCGCCATTGATGTACAGTGAAGAAATTAGGGGTTTGGAAGAGAGAAGAGAGGATTGGAATTTTTAAAGAGCGCCTTTGGCTTTCTAAATTGGCAAACCTAACTTTAATGGAGCCATGTATTTAAAGGAAGAAAAATGAATTTTAATTTTAATTTAATTTTAATTTTAATTTTAATTTGATGATTTTTCCATTGGGGGATGTTTCTAGGGTGGATAGAAAACGACAAGGAAAGGAGCCGTTTTGATGTGAGGTGGGGTGGTGGTGGGGTGCCACGTACGTACCATACACTCAATGGTGGCACGTATCGAGCACGCTTTACGATGTGATAATGCAATATCATCCCAATATATTTGGCAACTCAGCTTGTAATTGGATCAACGTAAATATATATTTTTGAAAGTAAGGGGTAGTTTACCAAACACTTGTTCGGTAAATATTTATCGATTAAATTTAATATTATTATTTATTTATCAGGTGAGATTTTAGTTTATCAAAACGAGATAATATACAATAATTTATCTGGTAAATGCTTACTATGGTAAGAGTTGTCGTCCTCACTTATCTAACCGGCTAAAAAGTTTTGAGGTAAAAAAAATATAGACCAGTTTTACCATTCGCAAATCCTACATCCAATTTGGATCGGTGGGATCTCGGATAGCATTCTAGAACCGACCAAAACCGAACCAAACCGATCAACATCCAATTACCCATCTGATAACCATCCAGTTGTCCATTCAACCATTATCCAACTATCATTCAATTAATTTGATTTCAAATTGCTTAAATCGAAATTTGTTTTATGTGAGATTTTGAATTTTTCAACTTATCTTGGGTTTGTTTTAACACATACTAAAAGTAATTAATTAATTTGTATCATTGTTAGAAAATTGGATTGAATTAACACACTGGATGGATTCAATCTCATCTCCGATAAAAGTATCTAATGGGTAGAACCGAACCAATCCAATCATCTATTGGATTGGATTGGATCGGTTATCCAATGTTAATCAGATCGAATCGTTAAGCAAAATCCAACATCATATAAATGATTGGATCGGTTCGATTCTCCGCACATCCAATAAATGTCAAACGATTAACTTACCCACTTTTTTTGGTTATAAGCATTTATCCTTGAGAAGATGGGAGTAGTTAAGCAACCCTCACAAACATATGTGTTCTTTTTTTAAGTATATAATATTTATATACGGCAAATGTAACAAATAAACTTACACATTTTTTTCACTTATGATAAGGTTTGAACCCCTAACCTCCTAAAAGACCAAGGGTTACGATACCGCTAAGCCAAAGACTCTTTGGTCTCACAAACATATGTTGCTATATATTTATTGTTATTTTAGTTTATAAACAAACTTTGTTTGGATTAAATTAATATATTAAAAATAAACATAATAGATTTGATTTTAATATGAAAGAAGATTTGTAGGAGTATTTATTTGACACATAAATACGTGTTTATTTAAATTCGTTCCGTTCAGAAATTTTAAATGTTATATAAATTTTGTTTCGGAAAACTCCAAAAAAAACCCGAGAACTTCCTTTCTTTTTTTCGTTCTTTTATTATCTAAACTTTACACCCGAGTTCTCAGTGAGTAACCAAAATACTGTTTTGGTCCGTACAATCCAATTATATTACATCTTAAATTAGGCGTCAACTGACCACGGAAAGAAGAGAAAGGAGAGCAATGATTAAGTCATTAAATAATTTTTTGGAACAAATAAATCATTGGATATTTGAAATCCTGTTAAACAAATCTTTAGAATTTTAAAAACATGTTAAATACATCTTATGACGAATAAATCCTTACATTATGTGACTTTTGTACCTAAAGCATAAATAAGTATAAATAAAAGTTGGGCCAACTACAAAAATTGCACTAAAATACACCAAAAGGTGTACCAAAATATATACCAAAAGTTGTGCCAAAATATGCACTAAAATACACCAAAAGGTGTACCAAAATATATACCAAAAGTTGTGCCAAAATATGCACCAAAATGTACCAAAAGATGTGCCAAAATATACACCAAAATATAACCCAGTAATGTCTAAGATTATATTAAATTGAAGATCATGACATGGACTGTTCTTCACTTGCATCTATTTCTGGATGAGATACATCCATTTCACTTTCTTGTAACTCTTCAGTATCCATATCGTTGTGTCAAAGAACCTTCAATTTCAAAAAGTGCCCTAGACTTGACCCCAATGTATTAGCTCTTACTAACTTCGACCATAAACTTCTTCAAAATATCATCTTGCATATCCTTAATTTTTATGAATGGTTCTTTGATGAGTTCCCTAACATAATGCTTTGCAATCTAATTTGGTGTCGTTGGGATCCAAAACTATAGTCTCTACTACATATATGCTTTAATGATTTTTCTTCTTGCATCCAAGATGCACGTAATCTAAAAGGACATGTGTGATTTTTTTTTGACTTTTTCCACATGTAATAAGCAACCTCTTGAATCATTTTTCACACATTATAGTTGGTAACTGTTTGTAATCGCATAGTCAGTCAAATAATACTTTGATTGTTTAGGATTCTCATACCTCTCACCAAGTCTAGGCTTCATCAACTTAGAAGGAATATTAAGATCATGTATCGGACCTTGGACACCTTTTTGCTTAGGGTCGTTTACTAAACATTTACTCAGGTAAGCACTTACCAAGTCACATTACTTTACCTGATGAATATGGTAAGGACTAAGAATCTTACCCGGTAAGAGCGAGACAAGGACCATGAGTCTTACCCGGTAAGTGAGGGCGATCGACTCTTACCACGGTAAGCGCTTAATGGATGAATTGTTGCATACAATGTCGTTTTGATGGACTAAAATCTTACCCGATAAGTAACTAATAGTGTTAAATTTTACCGGGTAAGTGTTTGGTAAACGGCCCCTTAGTCTCATCTCCAACATTATCATCATCTTCATCCACATCAAACTAAACATTGTCAATCGTGTTTACAGTGCAAAGCTTATTTAAAAACTGATCATCAACTGTTTAGTGTAAGTTGATTACATCATTCTCATCTTCAAGATCCGAGGATAAAGAATTTGACATATGTTTTTACTTGAATAATCACTTATATTATAGCTAGGATCATCACTACAATCGTCACTGAAATCAGATGCCATTTCGGAAACAAGAATAACGACTACTTCATCACGATTTACAATGAAAACAAAACCTATCATATTCTGGTAAATAATTCAAAACCTCAACAACATAAAAATTTATTTATTCTTGACACTGGTATTTACTTGTTACATATGGACACATATTTGCTACAAAGTCATAAAGTAATCATTGTTGACGGATGCCGAGTCCACCAAATAATAAGTTCCAACTACAAGCTAATTTACAACCAAAATTGTAATAGCGGTAAGTCGGGTCGTATCCACAGAGACTCAGTTTTAACTTGTTATAGCCACCAAATTCAAGTACAAGAACGAACAAATAAAATAAATACGAAAAGGGGGGGGGG